GCCAGCAAGGCTGGCTGGGGAATTCTGGGAGTTGAAGTCCACCCATCTTAAAGTTGCCAAGGTTGAGGAACCCTGGTGTACACCACTCAGAATCCTTTGGGACTGGGGTGGGTTAAAAGTATTGTAAACTACATTAAATAAATACAAAACAAATCAAGTACAGGAGCAGGGATGGGACTAACAAGGTTCTTTCTGTTCTCCTCTTTGGCAAGAAACATGCTTGGGTTTTTGTATGTTCGAATTTCTTTCTCCCTAGCAGGGGGGAACTTTGCTCTTTGAGGATCTGTGGCAGTTTGGGACACCGAAGTAACATACCTTGCTTTCTCCAGAAGCAAAGACAACTGTGGTCATTTTCAAACTGCTTTTGAGGAATTGAGAAGAGTGGAAATGGTGGTCTTTACCAGCTCAGATGGTAGAGTTCCATCCAGATTAGTATTACCTACTCTGGTTGGCAGTGGGCTTTTCCAGATTCTTGAGAAAGAGATTTCCCCATTACCTCTTACCTTACCTTTTTAACTGGAGAGGCTGATGATGGAACTTGGAGCTGTCAGTCTAGAAAGCAGCTGATCTTCTACTGAGTCATGGCATTGCTTTACTACCAGCATTACTATGCTGCTGTGAACTAGGCAGAGAAAGTAATACTGGGAATAGTTAGAGGCTGCACTCAGCCTAACACCATGCTCTGAAGTGTGACTTGCTCTTGTGCTCACAAGCAGCTGTTGAGGGCCCCCCAACTGTCTTGAAGCCAGCTGTTCTGCAAGAGCTTTCACTTTATCTCCACCAAGAGAAAGGTGGGCAGCAAAGGCCTTTCCTAAGGGAGGGACCCCATATGCAGCTTCTTGGCTCTCCTGGAAAGCATCACTACCAGGGTTGAACTTTCTCAGCAGGAGAGACCTTACAGAGTGCTCTTACTCACTGCACAATGCTGCCACAACAATAACACTCAGGAGCATCAGAAGCCCTAGACCAGTGTTGTCCAAACTTGGCCACTTTAAGATGAGTGGACTTCAACTCT